GTATTTTTCTTAGCATAACCGGGATTTTATGTTCTGGTTGCTGCAGGACAGACGACCTGATCCAGAAAACCATACGAGACAAGTTCAGAGAATGCACTGTGCTCACCATCGCTCATCGCCTCAACACCATCATAGACAGCGACCGCATACTGGTGAGTCAATAAGTTGAAGCTGTTTTTCTTATTTTTACATGAACAGTGCAGGATAACCACAAAAGGCTTCAAATGGAAGGCAATTGGACTTTTGCTCAGTTTTACTCTGATCCAGGAGTCTTTCTCAATTCTGTCGGCTGCACCGGAGCAAACTCTATTTGAAGCGCTGACGTACCAACCTTCTACATACATTTCAAGTCAGATAACTTCCCTTTGTTTTGAATCTTTGGCGCTAAAGCTGCAATCATCCTCCTCTGTTCAGTGATGGCTTTTCTATTTTCTCAAAGGAAGCTAGATTTGTGAAAAGAGAAAAGCCATCACTGCACAGAGGGGGAGGATTGTAGTTTCAGCTTCTAGACATTAACAATTCAGTCAAGCAACTAATTCCCAAGAAGTTGCATAGGCAGAACAAGGGTTAGCTATTTGATTAGCATCTGACTGGGAATGTGTGCAGGAGAATGGACCTCCATGCTGCTTAAATACATCAGAGCTCCAACAGAATTTACTAAAACTCCTAAACATGGGTTGACGTGCTAAAAATCCACATTTAGCAAGCTGCGTGGCCGGTAGACGCCTAATTGGATGCTGTCAGAATGAATAGCAGGTGCCTTTAGATCTCATTTTAATCACATCTAAAATTACCTTACACATTTTTAAACTGCAAAGTTATTCAGACTACTAGCTAGGTAGCGATAGTCCAATAGGTTCCGTTTTAAGCCTGTTTGTGGTCGCCATGACCAGTTTTCTTGCTATTGTAAGACAGGAAAACAGTCAACACAAAAATAAAACACTTTTCATCAGATCACAGTTTTATACATCTTTAAGAAACAGCTAAAACAATGGTTTTAAAAAAAAATAGCCTGACATTTTAAAGTCATTTAAACGATTGTATGTTGCACCTCCTGCTAGAAAATACTTCTTTAGACAAAAGAATAACAGTCATGCCTTTGGATTTCTATACTTAAAGATCTACATTTTTGCAGTACAAAAAAAAAATACTCTAATGAAAAGACATGTTTAAATACAAAGGTTGTTGGCTTCAGGTAGACTGCTGCTGCTCTGGATCCCTCTGCAGATCAGTTTATGGTTAGACAACGAAGGACCTCACAAACGCAGGAATTACCATCTGTTAAAAGTTCTAGTAAAGCAAGAAAAGTTTAAGATCCGCTTCGCTTTAAATAATTGGATCATAGACCCGACAGTGTTCAGATTCTTGTGTGTTGACTGGACTTCTATTCTCATGTTTCGACCCTAAACACCTTTCTGCAGGTTCTGGATGCAGGCCAGATCCACGCATACGACGAGCCTTACGTCCTGCTACAAGACACTAAAGGCATCTTCTATAAAATGGTGCAGCAGACTGGAAAGCAGGAGGCGGCGGCGCTAATGGAAGCAGCCAAAAGGGTGAGTTAGAGTCTGAACGAATGGAGGTTTGGAAATAAGCTGAGGCCAAACTAACATTGAACGTGTCTCCAGGCGTACGACAGCAGGAGCCGTCCCAGCATACCGAACGGACACGCAGAAACGGCAGCTGGAAACTTGGTGATCTTTGAGACGGCTATGTGAGCGTAGAGATGCGACGCTGCTTCTATGCCAGGAGAGAACAGAGACGGGCCGGTCCGTTCTGTGGCGCTGATCCACTGCAGCGAGGAGGCCAGGATCTACAGAGAGGCCGTCGCCTTAGTGTGGCATTTAACAGCTCAGCCGGACATTTGCACACAATGCTGCTGGCTTACAGCTGCTTTAAAAAAATGTTCAGGTAGAGCGCTTCACATTTGCCGGCTATGTTCTAACGCCGGTGCCTTAAAGAAGTGACTCGAGTCTTTTTCCTCTAGTTGTTAAAGGTTAACCTGTAAGTACTGTTGCACTGAAAAAGCAAACAAATCTGAACCCTGAATCTCTTGAGGTCTCAGTAAAAGTCTGTTTTTTAAACTGGTTTTTAGCTTTGTCAAAAGTGCCTTAATCTAAATCTTTGGTTGTATGTTTAAGGTGAACCAGTCTAGTATAGTGGAGGATGTTCTGTTTACGTAAGGCCGTCCTACGC